GAGGGTATACAAACTTGCTAAGATACGGGAGAGGAAAACAAGAGATTTTAATCAAGTTAAGTGCATCAAGAGTAAGGATTCTAAGGTATTGGTGAAGGATGAAGAGATTAAGGAGAGATAGAAGAACTATTTACGAAACTATTAAATGAGGAACATGGAGGTACGTCAATAGGGGAAGAAATAGCCAATAATACGATAAACCAAAACTATAGGTTTTATCGCAGGATTAGGAACTTTGAAACGGAGATTGCACTCAAGAAGATGAAATCAAATAAGGCTTTAGGATTTGATGATATCCCTATTGATGCTTGGAAGTGTTTGGGTAAAAATAGGGTTGTTTGGTTGACTAGGTTGTTTGGAAAAATTTTGTTAACTAGGAACATGCAAATAAGTGGAAGAAGAGTATGTTAGTACCAATCTATAAGAATAAAGGAGATGTCCAGAATTGCAACAACTATAGAGGAATCAAGCTAATGTGTCATATAATGAATGTGTGAGAGAGAGTGATGGAACGCCGATCGCGAGATATAATAGAGGTGTCAAAGAATCAATTTGGGTTTATGCCTGGCAGGTCAACAATGGAAGCGACCTATCTTTTAAGGAGAGTAATAGAAAAGTATAGAGAAAAGAAAAGAGACATTCATATGGTGTTTATCGACCTTGAGAAAGCATATGACAAAGTGCCTTGAGATATAATATGGTGGGTGTTAGAGAAGAAAGGGGTGACAAAAGGTTACATTGATGTGATTAGGGACATGTATGAAGAGGTAGTGACCACTATTAGCTCGCCTGCTGGAAAGACAAATGAATTTTCTATCACTGTAGGGTTACACCAAAGATCTACCTTAAGTCCTCATCTTTTTGCTCTAGTTATGGATGAGTTGACGAGAAATATTCAGGATGACGTGCCAAGGTGCATGCTTTTTGCAGATGATATCGTGTTAGTGGATGAGACTAGAGAAGGAGTTAACACAAAGTTGGAGATTTGGAAAAAAACACTTGAATCTAAAAAATTCCGGATAAGTAAAACTAAGATAAAGTACATGGAATGTAAATTTAGTAACAGTAACAATGGAAGCAGAGGAGAAGTGAAGATTGAGAATTAAGAACTGCCTAAAAGTAAACATTTTCGTTTTTTAGGGTCATTTATCACAACGACGGAGGAGATTGATGTGGATGTGGCCCATATGATTAAGACGGGATGGCTTAAGTGGAGAAGTATGTCTGGGGTATTGTGCGATAAACGAATACCCACTAGACTAAAAGGTAAGTTCCATAGAACGACTATTAGACCAGCGATGTTGTATGAGATGAAGTGTTGGGCGACCAAAAAATAACATGTAGATAAAATGAGTGTTACTAAGATGAGGATGCTAAGATGGATGTGTGGCAAGACTAAACAAGTCAGAATTAGGAATGAGTGTATTTGGGAATGGGTAGGAATAGCACCAATAGAAGATAAGTTAAGAGAGAATCGATTAAGATATTTGGTCATATTCAACGGAGACCAACAGAGGCAGTAGTGAAGAGATGCGATGCAATGACGGTAGATAGAAGTGTTAGGGTACCAGGTAAGCCTAGATTAACGTTGGCTAGCATTGTAAATAAAGATATGGAGATACTTAATTTGACTAACGAAATGACCTTTGATAGAGCCGCGTGGAGAAGAATGATTTATGTAGCTGACCCCATTTGATAAGACTTAAGGCTTGGTTTGCTTTGGTTTACTTCTAGAGCTATACTCTATTCCATTTACAAGTTGATATCTAATCTGTTATCTCCTAAACTCTAACATAAAAGTAGTAGATCCCATAGTTTGGAGCACCACCTATATTTGCACTAAAAGTATTGAATAATTTCTCCATGTTTGTTTAGACTGATTGAAATAGATGTTGTTTTAGAAAATTAACTATTTTAGTTGACCTTTTGACTTTTTAAAAAAATATATATTTAAAAAAGTACAAAGTAAAATTAATTTTTAGTAGTTACTTTTTGACTATTTTAGTATACTGCCAAACTTGCCCAACATTTTGAGGGCAGTTAATTTGGAGATTATCAATTCCTTTAAATTGTGTATTTCATCCTATGCTTGGATTTACCCAAGATTACAAGGATTAACAAAATTCTACCAATTTTGTATTTTAGTAAATTAATCCAAACTTCTCCTCAGTCTCCTATCTCACCCTTCCTATATGGAAGATAACACATGTCCATGTGGATTAGAAGTCCAGACTCTAATTATGTTTGATTAAATTATGTAATTTATTAAATTAATATCCAATCCCAAAGTTGTCCCAAACAAACAATGCCTAAATGGCAGGGTGCTTATGCAACTAGCACTACTAAAAACCGGAGCTTTTGCGACGGTCTTAAACATCGCAAAAGGTTTATATATCGTCGCAAAAGACTTTTTGCGACGGAATAGCGACGGGAAATGGGGGTGGCGAAAGGAGGCGTGACAAAAAGTATTTGCGACAGTTACAAGCCGTCTCTTTCTTGTAACGACAGTTAATCAATGATTTTTGCGACGGTTTAACCTGACACAAAAAAAGGAAAAAAAACTTCACTTTTAGTGACGATGTTGGTTACCGTCGCCAAAACATTTTTAGCGACAGTATTTGATGTCGCGAAAAGTATTATTAGCGACAGTCTAAAACGTCGCAAAAAAAGTAAAATTAAATTAATATCGTATTTGCGACAATTTAAACCATCGCAAAAAATATTATTAGCGACGGTCTAAAATGTTACAAAAAAGTAAAATTAAATTAATACCATATTTGCGACAGTTTAAACTGTCGCTAAAGATTTGAACAACGATATATATGCGACAAATTAACTCCTCGCTAATAAAAATATAAGGAAATGATAATTATATTAGCGACAATTTATTATTGTCGCAATAAAATTATTTTCATAAAATCAATATATATTTTATTAATTCATTCCCTGTACAAATTATTAATATTTTCTAAAATAAAATACATCCACATCCAAACACATCCACATTCACATTTACATTCACATCTACATCTACAAAATCATATGTATATATGTACCCCTTAACAATTGTCAACTAAATATTCTTTACAAAGGATACGTGAAAGTCAATGGGCAAGAAATCTGCCCAAAGAGAATTGTCAATTATAGCAATTTTGCAAGATCAAACACCTAAAACTGTTAAGTCCTTGGTGTAACTTCCATCTGAAAAAATGCATGATTCACAATAAGCTCGACAAGAGAGAAGTTTTCTATCTGGATCCATTATATCCAGAAGCTGTTCTGCATAGATGCTTTGACTGGCTGTGAACACCACAATTTCAAACATCTCAGCAACCCTCTCTAGGAACATCTGAAGGTAATGCCTCTGTTTTACATAGACTCTGTGCTCTTTCATGTTGAAAAAGACTGGAAAACTAAAATCCGCATCTTCACAATGTTCCAACGTAGAGTGGACAAGTGTTTTAGCACAAATGAAAGCTAGTGTGACCAACCTTTGGAAGCATCAACTTATGTAAAAATTCTTTAAAATGATTCGTAGAAATACAAGTACACCCGAAGTTGAAAGTTTAGTATAGGTGTGGATCATAAATATTATACTGACATAACCGAGAAATAAACTAGATAAGAAAAAATGAAATAATGTCAAGATTAATAGTAAACAGATCAAAGGAGTTCAATTTTCTTACCATCCAAATCCAGTACTAGGGTAGTGGACTGCATTTTTTGTGTTTCATTTAGCAATGTAGTGGGGTGAAAATTTGGCACCACATCTGGTAGGTCAGGTAGATTTCTGATAAACATGTGTGGATCAAAGCACTCTAATTGATCTGAATCTGAGTAGGGATTCACATCAGGTTCCTCATTGCAGGATCTCAACTGATGGATTGCAAGATACAAGCTTAAATCATCTGAATCTATAATGGTGTCCTTACATGTTCTGCCATCATGATCGCCACCTGCCTCCATGGTATCCTCAAGAAAAGGCAGTATCATGTATTCCTTAGCCACATCAAAAAATGTACTTGGCACATCAAATTTGTAATCAATCAAGCAACTAGCTTCTGTGATGTCATCATAAATTGAGTTGCCTTCAATGGGTAAGCCTGCAACAATCATGTCAGAAATGTAGAAATTTGAGACAATGCAAGTTTGATATTCACTAGAGCTTCTGTTGTTATCATCACTGTCATCAGCTCCCAAAATCGATGGATCAAGATCTTCATTACTCCCTGCATAGAGATAAGAGGAAGGTAAGGCTTATTTAGACAATGTCAATCCATTTTTGGCATGACCAATTCAAAACTGAACGTGAATCTTCTACTTTGCGCTGTCACATGCAGAAGATGGTTTAAGTTTCCAAACCCAGGACACGTTCTTAAGTGCCTTTTAGTGAAGGAAATTTTGAATTATGGGGAGCTTTAGCTGATCAATATTGTATTCAAAACCAAAAGAAAGAAACAGATAATTTACTTCAGATACATACACACCATTTTTTGGAAACATGAAGCAGTAACTTCCAGCATTTTCATTTCCACCTTTTTTAGGAGGAATGAAGCAACACTCGAACAAAATTTCTCAAAAAACTTCATCTTCATGTCAAAAAGTACACATGCTCTAGCGACAAATCTCTAATTTAAGATAAAAAAACAATTCCCAAGATAGCATAAACAGAAAAATTCTAAACTGTACCTGCATCATTGTTGATCTCTGGTTCACCGTGAACTTCATTTGACTCCAAAGTTGGTGAAAAAAATTGTCTCCAAGTTTGATGCATAGGTTAGTGGTATAGAATCCTGCAATCAACCATCATTTGTCACACATAACTATGATAACATTCTAGGAATACCTTTTTAGACTTTTGAAATATGGGGAACAGTTCGAGTAGCAAAAACAAGAAATAAACCACTAACGATTTTTCAATCTAATTATCTGTTCTAATTTATCGGTAAACCAATTGGCAATCTACATAGGCCCATCTGGACACCAAAGTTCATATTCTGCAAAACTCTCCAACTTTAGTTGATAGAAGGAAATAATGACTCCAACGAAATCCATGAGAAAACTAAGAAAATAAGAGAATGGCTCTCAATATGTGAATCTTACTAAAGAAAGAAAAGAGATTGGTGACAGTATGGAAAGACATTAGGACATTGAAAGCCTCAGTAAGAAGTATGTTTAAAATCTCAATTTCAAAAGCTAAATTTTAAAAAAAAAAAGAAAAACAAAACACGCACACACACACACACACACATATTTTACAATTGGCGCATTGTTACCATTGGAAGCAGTTCTTAGCATTCAATCAACTCCTATCATGCTAGCACTTCCCTCTGAAACCACTAAAATTCTTCGATATCATGTTTGACTTCTGGCATACATGGAGACCATTTTTTTTCTCTTAAACACCCCACGGTTGACTTGGTCTTCATTTTTAATGATGGCATTTGATCTGTTCTTGTTATATGTAGCACAATCTTCAATTGAGTACATCAGTGGGAAACAAAACCCCTCTAAACAATCAATACAGCAGCAAGATATTGTCATGAAAACAACTGGGATAAGAAATTAATAGTAGACACATCAATACATGTAGAGCAACTACTATAGAATATACTAAGAGACACATGAATCAGAAAGACAGGCAATGTAAATTGAATAATGATAGTATATAAGCATCGATGGGAAGGAAAAAAGTTTTAGAGCAACCACGATTCATTTAAAGAAAACTAAGATGTAGGTTAACAACCCACCACATACGGTATTTATATAAGTGAAATAACATAGAAGCAGATTGAGCATTGACAGTTTGACTCAGCTACAAACGCTATCATGGTAAACTGTGTAATTTACCTTACGACTACAAGGACCCACACTTCAATTCATTAAAGATTTTGTGGTTCTAAGAAAAAAAATCCTTTTTTTCTTATAAATAAATATCATAGCACCCCTTGATTCAATACTCATATTTTGGTCAGTTCATAATAGTTAAAAAGTCGCACAATCTGGCTGTTATTCATAAAGCAAAAGGCCATATTCTTTGTTGAAATTGCTCAATCTAGTACTTTGCGACAATTTTGAATTCTGATGCCATACACTACTCATACCCTTATGAATGCAGCATCAACTAGTATTATATGGGTGACATATGTCCCGATCTGAAAGTATAATCAATGTAGACCTATTCAGTCATCCCTCTGAATTCAAATAATGCCCGTCTCATTAGGTTAAAAAATTCCCATTCTAAGAACAAAACGGTGGATACAAACAGTGGGCCAAATGGCTAGGTAAACAACGTTCCTTTTAGCCATTCTTTGATGTCAGCTATTTATTAATGGAACAGTAATATTCCCATTTTGAGAACAAAATGGCAGATCTTGACTAGTTTGACCCCCATGCGCTGCACTCGTGGGGGTCGTGAGACTTGAATACCAAAATCTTAACTCAAAAGTCCTAGGATACCCATCGCATTTCCCCATCTTTCTATCAAACTTATTGTTAGAATTGCATCACACAATCATGGAAAGCTTTAAAGCTAGTGAAAATGATCTTTACCTTGTTCTTTGTTAAAATTGAAATATTGCCTAGTCATAGAAGGCTTTACCACTATTTTTTTTAACCAAACTGTAACTCCAAAATGAGAAACTTACTTCAATTTTAAAGCCCTTCTAGACCAACTAAAATCTATAAATAGAAAGGAATAACATTACCCAACTACTGGCCATGGGCAACCAAAAATAACCCCTGTCCAGCAAGTTTGAAAATATACCAAAATACTCTCAACTCTTTAAACATATTTCACACGTATAAACTGACAACCAGCAGTAAACTTGCTTAAAGAATAATTGACTCAAAAACAACTATGCAATTTCTGGAATGCCCCCTCCCCCCCAATAATTGTTCCAAATCAAGGGCTGGGGCTTGGAAGCAACTCTTCTATGCCTTTTCTACATCTTACAAGGGAATAGCCACTAATCACTTAAAAAGGACAATCATATAACTAGGGACTATAAATTTAACACCAAATAAATTAACAGACTCCATCTACAAACCATTCAAAGGATCACAAACAAACAAACCCACACCTACCTACATATAAATAGACATACACAGACATATATATATATATATATAGAGAGAGAGAGAGAGAGAGAGAGAGAAAGAGAAAGAGAAGCTACCAGACAAAAGTAACGTGGCCTAGAATAGGGCACACCAAATTGCAATGGGCTAAGAATGAACTCCTGCGTAACAAAATCATCTTTTGCCAATATCACAATCATTATTCTATGCGTATCAGATGTTTGCAACATATACACATGAAAAAAGGGAGAGAAAAAGAATGATGTTGTCTCAATAAAGTTTGGTTATTAATCAGAGAGAGAGAGAGAGAGAGAAAGAAGATAAAACAAGAGAGCAAGAAACAAAAAAGAAGTGTTAATAGTATATATGTAAAGGGAACTGAATTTATTTATTGAGATAAAAGTTTTCTATACAAACCTCAAACCCTACAACATTTTCCACAAATATCATGAGAGGAGGTTGTGAAGTTTTTGGTATAAGTTCAAGAATTTTGAGAAAAAAAGATGCCCGAGCATTAGCCGAGCCCTTTTGAAGACCTAACTAATAACAGTTTGAGAACACTTTTCCAATCAAAATGAAATTAACAAGCAGAGAAGAGAATAATTTTACCTTGCCGAGTGTAAGGCTGACAAGGAGGAGAAAGAAGCCATACATGAGCATGATAGCTGTCAAGATCAGCAGCACTCAGGGTTTGAATGTCACCCTAAACTCAGCAAAAAAGTAATATTGACCACAACACATTTTAGATAAGCTCTAATAAAGAACTGGTCAAATGCGATCATGGGTAATCAGTATTTCTTAGCAGCCAAGGGCTAAACAACAAATTAATGCATAATGGTGGAAAACCCATAATCCTCCATGTAGTTGCCAAGATAAATGGGTATTTCATTTTTTTTCTTTTTTTTTTTAAATTAAGAGAAAAAATAAATAAATAAATAAAAGGTTGGAACCTAGGCATATATTGGCAGATGATTCAAGGTTTGGAGGGGTGCCACTTTCCCTATTTAGCCCAAGGGAGGGGTGTCCCTTCACAAATTTGTGAAAGAGTGAGGACGGATAAAATAAAAATAAATCAGTGCAAAGGACTTCCAAACAAGTCACCAATACTTTTAAATTTTAACATAGTAAAACATGAACGACTTAGACAATAGCCAAAAGTAAAAAATAGATGATGATATGAGTTCCTTTGACAGATGATGACTTGGCTTAGACAATAGGCAAAAGTAAAAAATAGATGTTGATATGAGTTTCTTAATTAGACACGTACCCTGTACTCAGCTGCTGCCATTTGACCTGTCGGCTACTCAAATGGCTTCTTCTTCATCAATCAACACTTTCTCATTCAACTCCCAACTAGACCTTCACAATCCCAAACCCCTAAAACACACTACTATGTTCACAGCCCTCAGACCATATAACCCAACACACACACCCAAACTACTCTCTCTCTCTCTCTTCTCCAACCTCCAACAATATCCCACCTTCACATATCTCTCAAACCTCATCATCATCTCCACAGTTTTTACTCTCAACTTCCCATTCTTCCAAAACCCACTTAAATTCTCTCACCCCTCAAAACATCTTCCATCTTTTGCATTGAAAATATTGCAGTTTTGCTTGTATATATAAATGAAAAGCACACACATTCATCAAAACAAATTGAAACAGACAGGTGAAGAGCACACACATTCATCAAACACATTCACAGCACTTTGAATCAACCAATCAACCCTTCACACCCTGTCTCATCTCTCTCTCAAGCTCCAATCTCTGCACCGCTTTCTAGGGTTCTAATCCCCACACTCATACTTGCATAGACAAAAATGGAGTATCGCTTTTCACAGATTCAACACGAGATTTAATTGTGAAATTGTTGCATAATGCGTTGGATTAAAACTGGTGTTTAGGGTTGGTTTATTTATTTTTATTTAGTTAAATCCAATGAAGAGGGTTTGATTCCGATGAAGGAAAAAGAAGAGAAAAAGAGGAGAGGACAGGCGAGGAGAGTAGAGGACAGCAGAGGAGAGATATACCTGGATGTCGGAAAGAGAATCGGTGGGAAGTTGCCACTGCTGCTACTACAAACAGTATGTAAGGGTAACGCGCGAGAGAGAGAACGAGAGAGAGAGATTGTAAAGGTCTGTGCGAGCGAGTGTGAGGGGAAAGAAAAAGAGAGGAGATGAGGGTTACCTAGAACTCTTCCCACGCTGGTGTTGTTGGGGCTGCGAGAGGTGATATAGATGTACTAACCGAGATCGAGGGCGAGATCGAGAGAGAGTGGGCGGCGATGTCGGCTTGGTGAAGGTAGATCAATAAACTGATGCCGGCGGGAGTGAACTCGTAGATGAAAGATGGGGAGAGAGAGAGAGAGAGAGCTTGAAGATGGAAGATGGAAAGCGAGAGAGGGAAAAATGAAAGTATCAGGGTGCTAAGCATTTGAGAAATTTGGGACTTTTGCGTGTTTTGTGGTTATTAGCAACGGCACAATGATGCCCATCACAAAAAAAATATATATATATATATATTCACGTCAGGAGGAAAGAATCGTCATAAAAAATGAGCCTTTTACGACAGTGATAGGTTTACTGTCGCAAAAACCATTGAACATATGCTTCCTTCTTTTTGAGATAGAAATTACCATCGCAATAAGTGACTATTAGTGACGGAATACTAACCGTCACAAAAAGCATCTTTTTGCGACGGCAACATATACCATCACAAAAAGTTCCGTGTCATATACCCCTTTTTCTAGTAATGTAGTGTATTCTTGCTGTCTTTTAACAAATATTTTTTAATTAGATTTCTTACAAATAAACAATAAAAAATTTCCCACCAGTGTTTAGGCATCTGACTTAAAAATCAAATGCCTTTTGGAAAAATAGAGCCACCTGATATATTGATGTTTGCACTATTTTGTTTGCAAACTTTTCTCAAGAACACAAAACATGAATTAAAGAAGAGTTCTGATCACATGAAATTCACAAACAGTGAATCTCACATTCTAAACAACTGATTTTAAAACTATGCACACCCTTTTGGCAAATCTATGACTTAATTGGCCATGTGCCTTGTCCTCACCAATATAATTTAATAAATCTGTCCTTATCACCAACAAACTTGCAAACTTTTCTCAAGAACACAAAACATGAATTAAAGAAGAGTTCTGATCACATGAAATTCACAAACAGTGAATCTCACATTCTAAACAACTGATTTTAAAACTATGCACACCCTTCTGGCAAATCTATGACTTAATTGGCCATGTGCCTTGTCCTCACCAATAGAATTTAATAAATCTGTCCTTATCACCAACAAACATACAAATTCTTAGACTTAGCCCATCAATGGATTTATCAACAATTTTTCTTATATATTTTTTTTACTAGGTTGACTCTAAAATAGTTTGAAAAAAAAAAAAAAGACAACCCCGCCCAACCCAACCCTATTTTTTTAGGACTTAAAAAGGCTAGTTTGGCCCATAAGGCTAGGGTGAACCAATATTTTATGCCCATTTAATAAATGGGCCGAATGTATTCAAATGTGTAGCCCTGCTCAACCCAAAAATAATATATTTAATATTTTACTATATTCTGCTCAACCCAAAAATAATATATTTAATATTTTACTATATTATTATATATTTATATAATATATTAAACAATATATAAGTCATTCTACTTCAACCTCTATATCCAAAACAGCTTTACAAATCATTTATGAAATATTTTGTATCAAGTGAGACCACTTTGTGATACGCCAGTCTACTGAAGAAATGATACTACAAACTTCTAACACACCTCAAAAAATCAACTTCCAATATTTTGGGATTTGCATAACAACATAGAACAAGTAAAGCTTATTCATCACAAAATTATTAAGAACTTCAAGCTAGCATTGCATGACATCAAAACTGGCATGAGCAGTTCTGCAAATGCAAGGCAATTGTACCAAATCTTGGTTGTGTGTTGCATCTCAAGCCCTCTTTTTCCTACCCAATGCAGGGACTCTGGCGTTCATTTTAGTATGGCGAGAGCATGGTAACAAGCCGCGCAGAATAGCTAAGATTGCAAAACCCAGGAAAGGTAAGTACATCATCATCAACATATTCGTGATTCTGGAAGACAATATCAGCTCCGCTAATACAGCAACCTGAAGCATGAATAAAATCAAGAAGAGATTCAAACACCAATTTCGGACTCTAATGTTTGTTAAATCTACTTTATTAATCATTATTACATTCATCCATGTCCTATAATTTGTAAAAAAAAATAAAAAATTCAACCTTAAGCAAGATTTGATTATAACTGAATACATCGGGAATCAGAACAGGATCATAATCAGTAATCCTTAATAACCAGAACTGAGCTGCATTAGTGGCTTATCCATTTTTTAAATTTATGCAAAACCATAACCACAAAGCACTCATTGGTAGGAGTTTGGCCCTGCTAAAATGCAAGATTGTGATATCTTTGTTCCTTGTTCAAAGCCACCGTAAAATAATATAAGTCATATAGTATATACATTTGAGCTTAAAATTCAAAGAAATGGCTAGCCATAAATCTGACTTTGCCAATTATTACATGCAAGTCATTGGAATTTAATAGAGATAAATGCATTTTCACATCTTCATAATTGAAACAGCTAGGGAAATAGTGGTTTCTGCTTAAAAGTCTTGCCTATATTCCACTTGCATATATAATCACTAAAATTATAAACTAAATTTACTTTCATGATCAAGACATAAAGAAATCATTACAAAAATTAAAAAACATTAAATAAAATCTCAAGTTATCATATCAAATAAAAACTAAACCAACAACAAGAACATACAAGTAAAATATTACTCTTCTGGTACTTTTAGAAGCAAAATTATTTAATTCAACTTACATAATCTATAATGCCTCTTTAATTTAGATTAGATTGTGAATTTAGATTTATTGGACCATATCCTTATTTTTTAGCCTAGTAATAGTATAAGATTTGAAATTATTGTATTTCATTCTAGGATACCACCAAATTGATGTATTTAAGCCCTGCACCAATAAAATAGGGACAAATTTGGACCTAATAATCACCAGACCAGGTCAATTTAAATCATGTGTCATGTGTACTTGGTCCAATGTTTGGGTCATAATTTATAAAGAACAAAATAAGATCATAAAGTGAAAAAAACTAAACATATTTTAATCTCTCTTTCATTTTTTATAAAATCCAAACATAAAATCTTCTTTACCAATTCTATTTTGTGAAATTTGTGAATTAATTATTTATTTTTATTTTTTTTTTTGGAGTCAAATGCTATCCTTCATACTATGCCAAAACAATACGACTAAAATAAGAGAGTGAAATCCACCTCTTGAATTGCAATCCAATAAATTATACAAATTTTTCCCGAGAACCAAGCAAGAAATGAAAAGAAAAAGAAAAAAGGACAATACCATTCCAGTAAAAACAAAGACTCCATAGACTAGGCAAGTAGAATTGAACCAGGGCTTCCCTCTCACAAGAATAGCATAGAGATTTACATTGGCGAGTGGCCACTGGAAGAGAAGCTCAAGTCACATAAGCCCAACAAAGAAAGAAGGCTTTTCAATGAGCAAGTAATCACCGTACTCGCTTGTGAACCAGAGATTGAGGTCAACGAGGAAGTTTGGGAAGAACTTAGAAGGAAAGCACACTTGTGCATCGAAAGCTGGAGCCGCTAAAATCACCACCAAGAAGAAGAATAATAGAACTATATCTATTAGCTTAATCAAAACCCCCATCTCTCTCTCTCTCTCTCTCTCTCTCTCTCTCTCTGGTTTTTGTTTTCTGCTTTTTGATGTGAAGATCAAGTTTATTGTTATGTTATACAAGAGGAAGAGGGGATCTTGGTCTTTGAAAGTTCAGCAGAGTTCTTTTTGTTAGTAAAATAAAATACAATGTACTTTTTTTTTTATTATTATTTTAAGATAGGCATAAAATGTACTTGTTTACTATTTATTTCTATAATGAAAAATATATATTATGTAAATAAAGAAAAATTTGGTATACACACTTGGAAAAATTAGTCTAAAGTTCTTGTCTCATTTTTAGTAACGGAAGAGATCCACAATATTATTTTGTGTTGTCTAAGGTCCCTCAACCCAACACTCATATATCACAGAGACATTTGACATACCAAAGAGCTACTATTTCCCCACGCCCCTCTCTCTCTCTCTCTACAACACTTTCTTTCTCTATCTCTCTCTCTATACAAACTATGTTGATCCTCTCTTTCTCGCCTCACAGATACGTCTTCTCCACCACAACTAGGGTTTCTTTCTCATCTTCAGTCTCCTCGTCTTCCAAGCTTAGCTTGATCTCTTGCTCATTGCTTCTTCGATCGAGCATTCACAATTTTTTGTGCTTCGTGCTTTGCTACTCTTCGAAGGCTAGAGGAATGGTGGAGATGGTGCAGCATAAAGAGTCTGTGGTGGCCGTCGCCGCCTCCAGTTCCGCAGTGGATCTTGGCCATTCACGTACATTTCTTAATGTCCAGACTGAGGAAGGTCAATTCTATCTGCACTGCCTTGATGCAGTACTCAATTTGTTAACTTAACGCATTGCTTTCGGATTGTTTATACTTCACTATATTCTCATTACAGTTAGTTTTATATATGATTATTTTTTGTGTATATGCATGTATATATGTGTTTATGTGATTAGACGAGCTTGTTGATTCTTAATTCTGTTTGATTGCTTGGTATTTTCTGTCAAATGAATATCTGGAATGCATAATTTTGTCATTAATTGTTTCTAGGAGTAATAATTGCAAGAAGTTGATAGTTTAGATTTACATTTATAGCTAATGGTGTCTACATACAGTTGGTTGTCAGATTTCAAGTAATTCTACTAGTTTTTCATGTTGAGGCGGCTGAAACAACAAAAGCTATGTTTCAAAAACAAACTTTCAATCTATAGAAATAAGAAAAAATGAGTTCTCTTTAAACAGGGGGAAACAGATGCCCAAAATGATGCAAAAAGACACTATCCCAAAACAAATTAACATCCCCAAATTATTAATAAAAAATCAATGCATTCTTTTCTAGCCAAATAAATACTACGCAAATCAACAACACTTTTACCTTTTTCTTGCTTCCAAAGTCTCGGAAGTCAGTTAAAAGCATGTGAACTCTAAATGCCAACGCCACCAAAAGTAATTTGACAGCTATAGGCACAATATTGTTGAACAGCCACTGTTAGGTTTTTATTCTTGGCAACCCCGTTTGACAAAACTCCTTTCAGATGTATTTATTTTCGCACTTTTATTTCAATGAGGCTATGAGTTTATTAGATGCGAATCCAAACCCGAATCGAACCATGCAGAGAAGTTTGTGATGTTAATGCTTTCAAAGATTGCCACTTCGCTGATTATTACGGGGGTCGAGAGCTCGCGGCCGAAGCAAAATGTAAAATTGCATTCAAAATTGCATGTCCGTCGTTGCGCGCTCGAGCCAAGGAATTCTCGCTTGAGCTAGGGCTTGCTCGCTCGAGCCAAGGAATGCGCGCTCGAGCCAAGGATTGCGTCCATACAAAAACCTGAAAGAATGTATTCCTCGCTCGAGCCAAGGATCCGTCGCTCGAGCCAAGGCACTAGTAGAAATCATGAAAAATACACTGCTCGCTCGAGCCAGAAAAGCTTCGCTCGAGCGAACCTCAGAATCCGGATTTCTCAAGAAGTTTGTTTTCTTCCCAATCTAGGATTACTTTTGGTTCTCTATAAATACTTGGTTTTCTCCCAAAACTACGTGAATTGATTGAAGTCCTCCAGATCTTCTTTTTGGTTCTTAAGGATTGTATCTGGGGATATTTTGTTAGTTTTCTTTGATGTTTTTATTGAGTATTCAACTCATGATTTAAAGAGAGTACATCAAAGGTTGTGTTTTGTTCTAAAAAAGAGAGAGTTATTCTTCAGTTGTAGATTCTGAAGAATTCGAGCCTGAAGCTTTGGTGGAATCCGGAGTGGCTCATCAGAAAGACAATTCCGTGGTGAAGATGGGGTTGGAAGAGGCACATAGAGGTTGGTTCAATTAGGCGT